GCTTACAAAGCTGGAAAAGACATAAGTTATAAATAACTTATCTTTATTTTTAAACAGTTATTTCTTGACATCTAATATCCAGAAAAGTTTACAATTCTTTTGTTCGTTATTCTTTAAAAGTTCATTGTGGCAAAATTGATTTAAAATTACTTTTCACTTTAACCATTTTTTCATTGCACAATTCTGTGACAGTAATTATACTTACCTTGTTGTACAACCATCACTATTATCTTATTCTGAAAAATTTTCAGTACCAAATCAGAAACTCAGTACCCTTGTGGTAGTTACATGATTGCCTGTCAGCTTGAAGATATATAAACGTGTAGAGGTGGTATTCAACTTGTCAATCAAGGTCACAGCCTGATGGTGCCTACTTGTGGGATTGACCTTCTCCTGAGGAGAGCAGTCCTGGGAACTTCCCCTTCTTTCTCTTTGCCTTCACCCTCCTGCTGGCTGACCCTGGTTACTGCCAGGACCCTGGATGCATCCACTGCCATTGTATATACACAAGTCTGCACCCACCAACCTGTGATATCCCTGCATTCTGCATCATTGATTGTGATTTTGTGAGCCTGAAGAAGGACTAATGGACTAGTATTGGACTTAAGGACGTAAGTTGGACTGGGCTGGGTTGTTTTTCTGATATAGAATTACTTCTTGATACAAAGCTATTTCTTACACATACATGAGTGTCACTGGATTTGTTTCTCTAATCATCCAGGCATAACACAAACCTTTAAGCAATAATTCCCTGCTTCCTCCTCCCTTCACCCTTTAGGAAACACTCATAAACTTTGGCTATATATACAGCCACCTATGTATTCCTATTCCAGACATCTCATATTGTAATGCTAGGGATCACTTTGATATGTTCTAGTTATTCCCACTAAATGATTGAGTTGGGCTATGCAAATGAGCTTGTGGTCCAATAAGAAGGTTGGATATCATTGTTGTCAGGTGCTATCAAGTGGATATCACCGCCCCATTGCAGCTCTATGTACAACAGAACAAAGTAGTGCCAGGTCCAGGGATGACCTCACAATTGTTCTTATGATTGAGTCTATTGTTGCAGCCATTGTGTCAAACCACCTTGTAGAGGAGCTTCCTCCTTTTTGTTGCTCCTCTACTTTACAAAACTGAATATCCTTGACCAGGGACTAGTCTCTGTTGACAACGTGTGACAGAGCATGTGACACGAAGTCTCACCATACTTGCTTCTAAGGAGCATTCTGGCTGTACTTCTTCCAAGACAGATCTGCTTATTTTTCTGACAATCCATTGTACTTTCAATTTTCTTTGCCAGCACCATAATTCAAACACACAGATTTTTCTTAGGTCTTCTTCAGTCAATGTCCAACTTCCTCATGCATATGAAACCATTGGGAATATCATGGTAAGGGCCAGGTGCATGTCAGTCCTCAAAGTAACTCCTTGCTTTTCAACAGCTTTTCAATACGTGTTCAGCAGATTTACATAATGGAATGTGTCTTTTGATCTCGTGATTGCTGCTTTCATGAGCATTGACTGTGGATCTACGCAAGACAAAACCCTTGACATCTTCAAACTTTTCCCCACTTATCATATTGTTACCCATTGGTCTAGTTGTGAGGACTTTGGTTTCATTTACACAGAATTGTAGCCATCTTTAACCACACTCCTTTATATAGAGTTGCAGCCATATTGAAGACTGCCATCCTTGAATTTCATCAGTGGGTTTTTTAAGTCCTCCTCACTTTCAGCAAGCAAATTTGTCACCTGCATTTCTCAGGTTCTTAATAAGCTTAATAAGCACAATGCTCGTGCTGCATTCATTTTCATATAATCCAGATGAATCCACTGATGGGTATTTGAGTTTGTGTTCCTTTGTGGATTTTGCCATCATGTTGGTAAAGTAGCATTGGTAGTGTGATGGCTATATAATGAGCTATCATTATGAACATCAGTGATTGGAACCGATCAGTGGCTCCTGGGAGAAAAGACCTGATAACTTTCCCTCATAGCATCGTTGTTGCTGTTGTTGAGTGATTTTGAGTCCACTCCAATACATAGGGACCACACATGGGATAGAAGGCAAGACTGTCCTGTCCGGTGCCACCCCCACAACTGTTGTTAAGTTTGAGACTATGGTTGCAGCCACTGTGTCCATCTTTTTCTCTGGCCCCCTGCTTTATCAAGCATGATGTTCTTTTCCAAGGTCTGGTTTCCAGAAAACATGTCCAAAGGATGTTAGAGGAAATCTCACCATTCTAATTTCTAAGGAACTTTCTGGCTGTATCTTTACTAAGACAGATTTGTTTGTTCTTCTGGCAGTCCATGGTACTTTTATGATTTTTCCCTAAACCATGATTAGAATGCACAAATTCGTCTCCTGTTTCCCTTATTCATTGTCCAGGTTTGACTTGCATGGCCCACCTTGCTCCTCAGTCCTCTAACATGCTACAGGGTGCTTTTGCAGCAGATTTGCCCAATGCAATATGCCATTTGATTCTTTTGCTACTGCTTCCATGAGGATTGACTGGGATTTAAGTCAAATGATATCCTTAACAATGTCAATCTGTTTTCCATTTATCTTGCTGTTCTGAGGATTTTTAGTATCTTCTTTGCATCAAGTTGTAATCCATCCTGAAGGCTACAGTCTTTGATTTCCATTAGTAAGTGCTCAAAGTTCTCCTGACTTGAAGCAAGCAAGGTTATGTGATCTGCATATCCCAGGTTCTACTTAATATAATGCAGCATTTCAGATGTTTTGTTCAGCTTACAGTTCAACTAAGTATAATGAAAGGAGATCACCCTGATGCACACCTTTCCTGATTAAATAATGTAGTACCCCCTCCTTGTGTTCAAACAACTGCCTCTTGGTCTACATACCAAGTTTCCACATGAGTACTCATGGAAAATCCTAAGGGCAAATTCTACTCTGCCATGAAGGTTTTCTGTGAGTCAGAATTGACTTGAGGGTAGGCGATAGCATCAACAACAGTGATGCATCCACAAAGTTCCTTTTAGTGTGTAAACAGGAGTATAACACTAAGTGCTAAAGTTCTTGGGCCCCAAAATTATGCCTTTTGCTTGATTTGAGGTTTGGCAATCAGTATTTATATAAACTTCACGAAATATCAAGAACTCCACTAAGAGAGACAATGTTAGAATACACTTTTTTTAATCAAAAAGAAATATAATAATTAGAAGCAGCTGTTTTTTCATTTAAGATTTCTGCTATAATAATGTCTTTTAAAAATACAAAAAAAATCTGAATGCTCATAAGACATCACTAAAATGAGACCAGGATGGAGATCCACAGAGCTGAGCTAGATATTGAAGTAGGCGTGGATGGTGCTGACTTTAACCTAGAGTTGGTCTAAAAGAGGTGGAGGAAGGGCTTTAGCAATCCACTTTTAGACTCCCTCAAAAATAAAATCAGGATCTCCATCCTGCTCTCATTTTAGTCATCGCATATATGCCAAATCACACCATTACATAACTGCCCAACCACAGGGAAGCATGACCCAGGCAAGTTGACCCATAGTTTTGGGGGAAACAATTCCATCCATGACATATTCCATAATCATCGAATACACATTCACTTTCTAGCACAAATAGAACATTTCATAGACAAGGGCGCTTCAAAAGGTATGTGGGAAAATGCAAATATCTTTTCATTCTAATTTTTCAAGATCTTCTGAAGACTTTTCCTATTCATAGCATCGAGCAAATCTCCATTCATTTCAAAGGATTAAAATCATACAGAATATGTTCTCTGACCACGATTCTGGTTGGCTAGAAATCACTAACAAAAGAATGAAAAGAGTATCCATATATTTGGATGTTAAGTGTGTTCACATATAACCCCTGTAGTTTACATAAGAAAGGCCAAATGACATTATTCAATTACATTTCCCTGTACAGATTCTAGGAGAAAGGAGGACAAAGTAAAGAAGGAAAGGAGGCAGATGGGGCAAAACGAGGATCGGTTTACTCAATATACTCATAATGTGGAAGCAAATGAGGGCCCACTGCAAGTTCACTGACTTGAGGATTGCATATCTAATAATTATTCATTTAATTTTGAGAACTTAATGAAAAGGATTTATTTTCAGAGTCGTTTTAGGCTTGCAGAAAAATTGAAAAGAAAGCACAGAGGGCTAGCCTGTGCCTTCTCTTTCCCTATTTTATTTTACTCTTCCTTAATACAAAGCGTCTTGGTGACATAGAAGGCTGCTAACCAGAGTGGTTCAACCTTGTCAGCTACTCTGTCAGAGAAAGGTGAGGCTACCTGCTGCCATAAAGAGCTACACTCTGGAAAAATCTGCTCTGGCCTGTAGGATCGCTATGAGTCAGAATTGACAGTAAGGCAGCAGGCAGTGGGAGTCCTTAATACAGACCAATTGCTGCAGATAGAAGGGAAACCTGTACAGGAGTTGGAATGAAACGGCGTTGTTTTTCTGTGTCATTAAGACTTTCTACCTTGTGAGTGAAGCTTACTGATTTTCTATGACTTTTTATTCTGGGGAAATATTTGAGTTTTCCTTCTCTTAGAGAGAAACTCGCCTTGCTTCCAGTTTTTATATATTTTCCCTTACACTAGATTGGATCATCTCAGTTAACATTTCTAATATTATTGTAAGAGTGCATTATGACTCTTCTACAGGTATATAAACTAAACTCAGAGAATTAACACTTTGCTGACTGATCATGAGTATACTCGTGTTTTCATACCCAAACATTTCTAACTGGTCATGTGGTAACATGTATTTATCCTTATATTAGTTCTTGCAGTTTATAAACCTGAAAGCTTTACAGGTCTTTATTGGAGCTGCCTTGGTGGGTTAGTTGTGGCTTGAAATAGCCAGTGAGTAAAGTGTGAAGCTACTTGATAATTGGGTAATGCTACCAGTTTGTGCTCAACCTCTACTCTAACTGTTGGTGATCTAAACTCACCCAGGACAATCCTGGTGACTTGCTTCCATAAAGAGAGAACCATAAACCCCCTATGAAACAGTTCTTCTCTGTAATGCAGGGAGTCCCCAGGAGTTAGAATCGATAGGATTTCAATGGGTTTGGTCTTGGTTTTCAAAGACATAGGAAAGCAAGAGTTAATACAAAACTACTTGACTCGATAACCCATTTGCTAATTACATTACAGGAAGAATTGAAACAGAGAGGTGTCAAGATTTCTGGCGTACTCAGCATTTCATTTATTTTGGTTTTTATAATCGCATGTCCAAGGCAGATGATATAATTACAGAAAGGAAGATATTGCTGAGACAAGTGTTCTCAAGGCTTCCTTCAGGTCCCTATTCCTCAGGCTGTAGATAAAGGGGTTCATCATGGGAGTGACCACAGTGTACATCACTGAGGCCACTGCTCTCATACTTGAGGACGAATTAGCTGCAGAGCCAAAATAGACCCCCAGAGAGGTCCCATAGAATAAGGAAACAACAGACAGGTGGGATCCACAGGTGGAAAAAGCCTTATACTTTCCACCAGTTGATGGGATTTTCAGGATGGAGGAGACAATGCACATATAAGAGAAAATGATCCCAGAAAGAGGACCTATACCCAACAGGCTAGTCGCTATATATACAAGGATGTTATTGATGAGGGTATCAGAGCAGGAGAGCTTGAGTAACTGAGCAAGTTCACAGAAGAAATGAGGGATTTCCAGGTCTGTGCAGAAGGACAGATGGAACACCATCAGAATGTGGAGCAGGGCAGTCATGGTGCTAATGAACAAAGAGAGTAGAATCAATAGGCCACAGCGGTGGGGGTTCATGATGACAGTGTAATACAGAGGGTGGCAGATAGCCACATAGCGGTCATAGGCCATAACAGTCAGGAGTAAATTGTCCATACAGATAAAAGCCAGGAAAAAATATCCCTGGGTAAGGCAGTCTCTGAAGCTGATAGCTTTATTCACTGTCTGGATGTTCACAAGCATTTTGGGGACTGTAGTGGAGGTGCAAGATATGTCAACACAAGACAGGATGCAGAGGAAGAAATACATGGGGATGTGGAGGTGGGGGTCAAAGCTCACAGCTAAGATAATGAGCAGATTACCCAGCACAGTGACCAGATACATAGACAGGAATAGCCAGAAGAGGAAGGGTTGTAGTCTTTGATCCTCTGAAAGGCCCAGAAGGAGAAATTCCAAAATACCTGTGTGGTTTTCTGATTTCATGGTGTTTGTTAGTGAATCTGGAGCAAAATGAAATAGACACTTGGAATTAATTATTTCATGCCTTCAATTCTAGTAATTCAAAGACATTTATTTCACTCAGTTCCCTCTACTCTTTCCTTCCTTCACCACATACTTTTTTGAGTGAATTCCATAAATCACATTTATCTAGTGATATAGTATATCCTATTGCTATAACTAGTATTCGGTTCTAATCATCTCTGAATACAGCATCAAACTTGGTTCAGAAAAAAAAAAGCCTGCTGAGTTTTCCAACTCATGATGACCCATGTGTGTCAGTAGAATTGTGCTCCATCCAGTTTATAGTATTTGCTTTTTGGGGACTCAATCCCCAGGCCTTTCTTCGGAAGCATCTCTGGGTAGACTTGAAACTCCATCCTTTCTATTATACTGTTTGTATCACTTCTCCCAATCCATTAACATTGAGTCCATTCCAACTCATAACAACCATCTAAATTAGAACATTAGAATAGAACTTCCCGAGATAGTTTCCAAGGATGTGATCTTTAGAGAAGCATGTTGTCACACCTTTCCCCTGTGGAGTGGCTGGTGGGTTTGAACTGATAAACTTCCATTGTGCAGCCAAACTCTTAACCACTGTATCACCAGCTCTAAGCACCACCCAGGTATGCCCAAACTTGGTTAGATGACTATTTCCTCAGAGTATTGACTTATGTAGTTATCTGGACAATTAGTATCTGCATCTGGCCACAATTGCAAATGACTTGTTTTCTTGGAAGTAGCTTGGATTTTTGACTGCCTCATTGTCAGCAATAGCATCATTAAACCATTCTTTTAATAATTCTATAGTTTATAGTTATCTCACACATCACCATTGAGACCTGTCTAATGGGAAATAATTGCTTCCACTAGAATTGCTGTTGTGGAATGACAATTTGTCTTTTGCTATCAGCAAAAGTCCTTAGTGAAGGACTTCATAAGACAAGACAAAATTGATCTATTGCATGTATAGTACAAATATCAGGCACATAGAGAAAATTCCTGTCTGATGCTAATGGTTTTGTTATCATTTTCCCTCTCCCTGAACTCCTAAATGCATTGGCCCCTTGCATGCTCTCAGAGTGCTCTTCCAAGAGGTGTAACAAAGGACTTAGCACACCTCAATGTCAGCCTACTCAATAAAACCCGGGGTCCTCATTTCTGTCATGGAGTTGATTCCAGCTCCTAGGAATCCTGTAGAACAGAGCAGAACCAATCCATAGGATTTCCAAGAAAGCAAATTTTTACAGGAGAGTCTCATTGTTTGATGGATTCCAACCACCAGCTTGATGGTTACGAAACCAATGTCTAACCCACTGTACCACCAGGGTTCTTTTAGACACCAGGAACAATTCCAGCACTAGTGTGCATCGGAATCACTCACAGGAATGGTTAAGACACAGATCGCTGGGTTCTACCTAAGACCTACCAAAAGCAAAGTCACCACAACTGAGACGATTCAGAGCCAAAGCCACCCTACAGCACAATAGAACTGCCCCTGTGGGTTTCCAAAGCTATAAATATTTCTGGTAAATGATAGCAGACAGTACCATCTTACTGGTGGGTTCAAATATCTGACCTTGAGTTTAATAGCCAATGCATAATCCACTATGCCACGAGGGGTCCTAGATATAGGTTAGGGCACAATAAATTTCACTGTTTAAAGAGTTCAACTCTGAACCCAATGTTTTAAAGCCATCCATTATCCCATGGGAGAAAGATATGGCAATCTGTTTCTCTCTTCTTGCTTTTATATAGAATACAGCCATGGAAACCATATAGGGGAGTTCTACTCTATCCTTTCAGTTCACTGTGCGTCAGGATTGACGGGATTGCGATGCGCTTTTATACTGTTCTTTATATCACTAGGAACTCATTAGGTTTAGGATATATTCTACACTGATTAATGAAACAAAGAAAATCCCATTCCAAACAGGGATTACATTCAGAGGTATAGAAGTTAGGATTGCAGAAAGTATTTTTGGGGGCGGGGGGTGGGGATACAATTCAATCTATAGCCTTGGTGCTATAGCCTTAGTCAGGTCTGCATTCAAATCTTGTGTAAGGCTAGAAGTGAAATTCTTGAGCCTGTTTGAGCTTAGCTTCTCATCTGCGTAACAGGAATAACAATAGAGCCCCGACCTTCCAGGATTACAAATGAGAAAGAAAGAGCAAAGCCCACTGTATAGAATGTTGCTCATATTATTTTTACCACTCTTACTATTACCCAGGTGGCTAACTGAAAGGTTGTAGGTTCAAGTCCACTCAGAAATATTTCAGAAGAAAGCCCTGGCAATCTAATTCTGAAACACAAACACTGAATACCCTTGGGGGGTGTTTGACTCCAACATACATCCAGTGAGTTACCATGAGTAAAATCTCTGAAGCAACTGTAGTTCGATTTGGTTCTGGCTTCTGACTTTGGCATGCACCAAAGTCACCTAGGAAGCATATTAAGAATTCAGAAGAAATTAAAACAGAAACAAATGCAAAGAAACAACCCACTTTATAGATTTCTAGGCTCCGTTCCCAGTTTTTGATTCATTAGGAGATCTCTAAGAAAGTACCTTCCAAATAACTCCCCAGGCATCTCATACAACTGCAGGATCCCTGGCGCAGAATTTTGGTGCACCTTGTTCAACAATTTCAAAACAATGACAGCAGAGTATTAAATCAAGCTGGTGTATCACAGACCCACGCAATCTTCCCTGGATGCTGGTTCAGGAATGTTTGAGACCCACTGTTTTAGAATTCCAACTTAGTTAACCTAAGCTTGCTCCTAGAGGGGATAACTGAAAACAATAAAAGCATATTCTCTTACCTTTGGAATGTGCAAGGGATTTCTGTATTTACACATGTCCCCACAGAGAGTCACAAGATTGACTTCCGTCCAAACATGTGGATGTTGAAGACAGATCAACCCCAAAGAACTTCCATGAGATAGACATGAGTGTAGTATATGGACAAAGCATATTTTCTAGAAGGAGAGAAGATGTCTTCCTTACTCGTTTGGCAGCGGTGAGGTTGTGTTGATAGGAAAGAGAGAGGGTCAATTTACAGATTTTTATAGCCCTGGGGGCTTTGTCTCCAAAGGTCTCCATTAGTCAACATATTCTCCCTTTGTCCCAGACCTGGGACACACACAAAAGGAAACCACTGGTTTGCTAATGACCTGGGGGAGGATTAGCATCTGCCTCTTTTCTTTCCTTTTTTCTTTAAAAAAAAATTTTATTGGGGGCTCGTACAATTTTTATCATAATCCACATATATATATCCATCGTATCAAGCACATATGTACATTTGTTGCCCTCATTATTCTCAAAACATTTGCCTTCAACTTTAGCCCTTAATATCAGTTGCTCTTTTCCCCTTTCCCTCCCTACTGCCCCCTCCCTCATGAACCCTTCAAAATTCATAACTTATTATAGTTTTGTCATAAGTTACACTGTCTGATACCTAAGTTAATGCTTGTCTACTCTTAAGTCTTTGACTTCCCCTCCCCTTTGTAACCCTGGTAATCATCAAAGAATATTCCTTTAGATGTGAAAATTTTTCTTGACTTTTTATGGAAGTAATCATAATATTTGTTCATTTGTGGTTGACTAATTGCACTCAGCATAATGTCCTCCAGGTTCAACCATGTTAAAGAGGTGTTTCGTAGACAGGACCTATACCTTACTCCATATACAAAAATGAGCTCACAATGGACTAACAACCTAAATGTAAACCCTAGAACTATAAATACCATAAATGAATAAAACAGAGGCCCGAATACCTGGTATAAACACAAAATCCAACATCACAACATGAACACAGATGGCAGAAAACAAAATAGATGACAGTGACCTCCTACAAATTCCACAATTTGATTATCAAAATATTTCACAAAAAGAGTAAGAAAAGAACCTACAGACTTGGAAAAAATGGCTGTGACATATTGGACAAATCTGTAGAAAACTTTAACATCTGTGTATGGATTGCTATAACAGTTGTATGAGCCCCTAATAAAATGTTTAAAAAAGAAAAAGACAAATAATCTGATAAAAATGGGTTGAGGATATGACAGAGAGTTAACCAAACAAGACACGCAGGTAGACAACAAACGTATGAATAAATGCTCATGAATATTGGCCATATGAGACATGCAAATCAAAACAACTGTGGGCTGCCACCTCACGCCAACATTGATAACAACATTTTTTTAAAGGAAAATGACAAATGTGGGAGAGGGTGTGGAAAGACCGGAACTTTCATTCTTTGCTAATGGGACTGAAAACAGGATAGCCACTGTGGAAAATGGTTTGGGTCTTTCTCCAAATGTGAGAATAGAAATACTAAATTGCTCAGTAATCCCCCTAATTGGTGTATATCCTAAAGAAGGAACACTATAGCAAGAACATACCTATGCATATCTATATTCATCACATTTTCTACACTGTACCAAAAAGAACTAGTGGACATTCCAGCATTTCAGAAGGTAGCATATGAGCGAGAACTCGTGGTGCTGAAAGAAGACATTCAAACTGTACTGAACGCACTAGCCAAAGACAAGGCCCCAGGAATTCACGGAATATCCAATGAAATGTTTCATAAAGCTGGAGAAGCACAGGAAGCACTCACTCATCTCTGCAGGAAATTTGGAAGACAGCTACCTGATCAGTTGACTGGAAGAGACCCACATTTGTGTCCATTCCAAAAACGTTGACCCAGCAGAATACTCAAATTAGAATGATAGCACTGATACCACACAGAAGTAAAATTTTGCTTAAGGTCATGCAGCAGGAGTACATTCACAGGGAACTGCCTGAAATTCAGTTCTGATTAAGATGAAAATGTGTAACAAGGGATATCATTGTTGATGTGAGATGGATCTTGGATCAAAACAGAGAATACCAGAAACATGTTTACTTGTGTTTTATTGACAATGCCAAGGCAATCAACTGTGAGGACCATAATAAGGTGGGTAGCTTTGAGAAGAATGGGAA